GCAAGTGGAACCCATAAGTGTTTAAAATGTAAACAGATTTTCCAGCTTAGCTGCAGATAGTTTTAATGAACCCAAGTAATTCCCAAACAATAAGCCTCCCCTGCAACTTGGGGCAGTTACGTCTGTTTTCCATTACGGCCTGAGTCGGTGTGGTTCGGCACGTCATGTTGTCTCCATTGTAAAAGTGGCCTTTACAGCTGAACATAGCAACTGACAACAACAGCACTTTATGTTTCAGGATTCAGCACCAAAAGACACTCAAACATTTCCCACACAAATAACTGAACATTCAGTCCATTACAGTTTTATGTTTTTAGGCTTGATGTTTATTTTGCGTTATTTTCACTGTGGTAGATTAGCTACTGCTGCTATTAGCTAAGCTAACACTGTGGTGGTTGATAGTTAATTTAAACAGCTGCTCTACTTGATCTGTCAGATTGGTGTTTAGGTCTGTTTTTATTATTTTTTAACTGAACCAAATCAAATCGGATTCCACAGCACACCTACATGTTGTGATTGTCAAAGTCAAGCTAGCATAACTGACCTACTTCCGTCTCTCTCGCTACTTTTCTTCTTAATTAAAACTTTTTCCTGATCTTGTTATTTAGTTGTCATACTGTTGACGAACTATGTCTCTCTTTCTTTTAATATCAGGCGTATATTTAAGATTTATCACGTTATATTGATAACAGCTAAAACCAATGCTAGTCATTATTAGCAAGTAGCTTTGTAACCCTCCTGCAGGAAAGGGTCCATACCACAACGGTACGGTAGAGTTAGGGCGGAGCGAATGGCGTCAAACAACACAGTCCATTGAAACAGTAAAACATTACTGCTTGAAACAAACACAAGACATACCACCAGTGTGTTGAGTTTATCATCGCACTGGTATGCGGGAAATGTTCTCCTGAATACACCAGACTGTAAAATATTGTACCAAACTGCACCAAAGAGGCATTGCAGAGCGATTGAAGAGGAATACCAAATAATATGTAAAGTCTGTAAACAGATTGCTCTGATGGAAAAACACTCCATAGATGAGACCAGTTTTGAGAACCGACTGGCTGCTAAAAATGTTTTCATGCTGTTACACTGACCACGCCGGCCTGAAATATTAATTAGAGCAGGTCTGAAGCCAATGCTTTAAAACCTACACAACAGCTGAAACAGTCGAAGGGTATTTTACTTTGTAAATACAATATTTGGAGATAATTATGTGAATTAGTAGAGTTACATTTGGACAAACGTACATGTGAAGCAGAGCCTCTTTCTTCAGAGGTTATGCTACAGCAGCACATGTTAAACAAGAGTGAGCCGTGTTTTTCTTTCATTTGCCACCTGCCAGGTTTCGATCAGACATAACCCTCAGACATGAGTGCTGCCACCTCTCTGCAAAGATATGGGGATATTTGGCTCCTTTCGTGCTCCAGAAGCTGTCAGTAATCAGTTTTGGCTTCCTACCTTCAAATGGCATCTAGCCTGAAGTGTGAGGTAGCCAGCTGCAATAAATCAACACAGATGCTACGGGAAACAGCGGATGAGCTCAGACACTCTTAATAAGAAAAATTATTGGTAATTGACTTAGTTTGTTTTCGTTTTTTTGGGGGGGTTAAGCTTTCATTTATCTGTAAAACAGAAAATTAAAGCTCTCATTGTTTGCAAATGGTGCAGCAGAAGCTGCATCTGAAGGGTGGTTATGTAGGCTTTATGCATTTATCTTCTCTCAGATAGCCGTTAGCGGTGGGAATATGTTGGTCAAAGGGGAATTTAAAAGAAATCTAACCTCTTTTCTTCTGCCATGTGCTCTGCTGCCTCCTCTTCTCGCTGCAAATGAAACGGAACCATCAAAACTTGCCTCCAGCGTTCATCCATCTGAAATTTCTTTGGAGCATTTTTTAAATAAATTCATGACTGCCAGGAACTGTACTGATGATGATGATGATGGTCAGGAGGATAGCCTACAGAAACTCAACATCCTCCCTGGATGTCCATGACTGAGTGCAACCCCCGAACCCTGGAAAAACCTGGAAAATATGTTTCATTACTTTAGATGTAAAATATCACTGCAAACACATTAAATCTCATCGGGTAATTTGGTTTATTTTCTGGTGCAAATATCTTAGTTCACTTGGAGTAAAACAAAATTAACTCATAAATAACTTTCAACAATTAAATAATTCCTTAATATTAGAAAAAGTGCGAGTTCCACTGGCTGATTGTTTCACTTATGAGAAAAATGTTTTGTTATAAGTGAAATAATCTAATACTTTTATCAATATAGTAAAGGTAAAGGTAATTTTATGTATGTAGCACATTTTCAGCACAAGGCAATTCAAAGAGCTTTACATGAATTAGAAGGAAATACAAACAAAAGAAAGACAAGAAAGTAAAAATATAAAACTACATATTGGTTCCCGGTGTTAATAAGAATAAGTAGTAATTTATAAACTAGTGGGGTTTCTCTGGACTCTTGTTCTGATAAAACTAGTTGTTGGTGAGATTAGAGAGGTATAAAGCTAAATGTTGGTTCTAACGGTTCTGGAATGCTTCATGGTGGTTCTAATGGTTCTGGGATGCTACATGTTGGTTCTAATGGTTCTGGGATGCTTCATGTTGGTTCTAACGGTTCTGGGATGCTACATGTTGGTTCTAACGGTTCTGGGATGCTACATGTTGGTTCTCCATGATTGATTCTTGTTCTGTGTTAAGTACATGGTACATTTTAAGTTTGTTCTAGATTTGTAAACTAACAGAAGTTTCTCTACGTCTTGCTCAGATATTAAAACTATAAAGTTAAATGTTGGTCTAAAGTAGTGAGCAAAGAAATTACTTAAAACAAACTCCTGTATCTTGCTAAAAAGTTGTTTACAGTTAAATTTGTCTTGTTTCAACGGTACTAAGATATTATACATTAGAAATTAGACAAAAATACTGGGTAAGATTTTGTGTTTTTGCAATGTGAGGATGGATATTTACATTGCAGATAAGAATGTGGAGAATTTGTTTAAATTTGTCTTTATTTTCAGTTTTCAAACTGAAAAATTCAACCTTTATCTGAATAGATTTATTTTTTGGGAGTCCCATGTCAAGAAATAATATATTTTCCAGACTATAAGTTGAACTTTTTTCACATTAGTTTGGGTTTTCCTCTGACTTATAGTTAGGTGTCACTTATGTGTGTATTTTTCCTCTTTATGATGCATTTTTGACTGATGTGTTAAATGTTAATTTATACAGACTGACATGAACCGAGGTAGACCCAATAAAAGCTTCTTTTTTTAAAACAAAAGGTTTGAACATGGCGTCTGATTTTTGTTTTGGAGATTGTAACTCCATTGTTTTCTGTTCTGGTTCTCCAACAATGAGTCCTGCAGATTCTTCATCATGTGTGTGAACGGCAAAAGAAACAAAATGGCTGCTTGTCCAGCCAAACGGCCAGAGGCTAAAGGAAACTGAACTTTGCATTTAGTTGTATCAATACCCAAAAGAAAGAAAAAGCAATTGGTTACTAATTAATCAAAGTTTTCTCAACTTGGAAAAAGTAAAGTATGAATAAAAAAAAATATTTCTAGGAAACCCAATTGGTGATTTTGATAACAGTCATTTCTTAACGGAGGAATTTTTACACTCCTGAATAAATTTACTCAAGTTAAAGGTTGGATTTTAGAGTTCTGCATTTTTTATTAATTTAGTTTTGAGTTTTTACAGTTTGGATGTCTTTCCAGGAAACTCATACAACTGTAGCTGCGACTGAGCCGGATGTCTTGACAGGCAGCAGCATGTTATCAGAGACTTGGAGCATGCACATGCAAATATTTCAGCAGCGTCTATTAAAATGAAATCACTTTTCCATTCCTATTCCCTGCGTTAATGTGTCTTTCTTCATTTTCTGCTTGACCAGGCCCGGTAATCATTGAATCTCATCGCGGCGTTGCCCTCTTTCCTTCTCACCAACACAGCCGACCCACATTAAACAAAGACTCATCACAATGAAGCCCGGCATAAACATCATGCTCTCCTGCTCCAGACCATTATTGCCCATCCCTTTTCCTGCAGATAAAAATCTCTTGCACTAGATTATGGCAGCCATCACTTTGTTCTGCGTCTCTTCTATCTAGTTTCCAGAGTGACGGTGCTGCAGAAATTGACAAAAAGTGAAATTATAACCACATGGTCAAGTTAACAGATTCATAAGAGACGGCATAACAGCGTTACGTGTTACTGTAATTAAATTTAGATTGAACCACGTCCATTATTGTGCTCTGGTTCATGCAAATTTCACCTCATACAATTTTAAAGCGGCGGTCTCAGATGTAGATCGAGCCGTCTATTCTAATACAGGAAGCTGTGCAAAAAAAAAAAAAAAGAAGAGCAGGAAAATTAAAATGAGCTCCGGAAAGTCTTTCAGCCTTATTCTGGCTGAATATCTCAGATTAAGACAGAATAGCTGTGAGGGGAAAAATCAACAGATCTTCTCTGCCTTTTGAGGCCGTGTGTGTCAGACTGAATGGCGCCGCGGTCCGCGCGGTGCAGGATCATCACTGGAGCTGAAGAGAGCATCGCCACACTCCACTGAGCAGATTAAGAGAGTGACAGGGACCTATGACTGGCTAATTCAATGGGAGCGCTCTCTGTAGAAAACACTTCGTTCTCAACAATGTCACTTGGCTCTCCGGTGCGACTCATCCTGCCATGGAGTATTATGCAGCCCTGCTGGAACGTCCCCTGCATTTTTTCTTTGACTTCATCCAGCTTTGAAGCGAGCAGAGCGTTGTGAAGGTTCAAGCAGCCATCAATTTTATATTAGCAGAAGGAGTTCAAAACACACCTCTTCTCACTCATTAGGTTTAACTTTAACAACTTTGGCTATCAGTAAAAAGCAGTGTTTTAAAACGAACGCCCCACTTCTTACGGCACATCCACATCACAGACAGCCCGATGAATGATACATATATCTGAATTTCTGAGTGCCTCTTCATTTCTCTTTCCTTTTCAAAAAGGGGATCACTGGGATACGGTTTGCCGAACATCAGAGGTGCTACATCAGGACCCAAACGAAGAAACTACCCACAGTGGCCGAGGCGGAGGCTGACGACAGGGAAAGGACGGTACAGTACGCCTTCACGCTCTTCCTATACGCCGTCCTGCAGGAGGCGGCCATGCATATTGTCAGAAGATAACCGGAGCAAAAATCCTCAGTCTGTCCATCTCATCCTGTCTCCCCTCTCACTGAGGAATAAGCTGGGGTTTGTGGTGCCTGTGAAACTGCCAGAAAGCTAACCACAAACCCTCTGCCTCTTTGTGGCTCACATCAAATGGTGCTTGCTGTCAATCTTGAGCCAACATTAATTTTTAATCATCTCCTCCAAAGACTTTACCCAAATAGCCTAAAGGGGGAAGGGTTGCTGCAGAGGTCTGTGCGAGGTAAACCATTAAAATTGTATTTTTAAGCAATGCCTTTCTTTGTAAAATTCACAAGGCTCCCCTTCTCCAAGCTTAGGGTGATTCATTTTAGTTATCGGGCTTCTTAAAGTCGAATGTGAACTTCAGAACAAGGAGTGGGTAAAAATTCAGTCAATCAAAATTCCCATTTTTCAGTGTCACAGTGAAATTCGGCGAGTGGGCCGCGCATTGAAAGAGAAAATCCTTTCCTCAAACGTCTCAACTCCAAGCATGCTCTCATTTACATTTCAGATTTCAGCTAAGAAGAAGAGGCTGGCAAATATCTGACGCTCCCCACTCACCGCTTTATCTTTTTTAAAAAAAGCCAATTGTCAGTCCAGCTTTAGTTTTTAAACTTTAAGAACACAAGCTGTTACACCAAAAAGCAGAGTCTTTGTTCCTCTCATCTTCAAATTGTCTGATCTACGTTTACAGATACTAATTGCCCAGGCAGCACCATATGTCTGTGCCATCTCTGTCTTCTTTTGTGTACCGGAAAGCCTAATTGGCTCAATTCGCAGCTCCAGAGTGAAGCATGAAAGGACAGCAAAGTGACTTGGGCTCATACCAGTATTGATGGACACGCTTACGTTTAATAAAAATAATGGTTCAAAGGGCTATTTAAGTCACGTTTTACTGTGATTTGGTCTCACTTGTGCAACCTTGCCTTTAAAAAGCAAAGAGCCAAGAGGGATTCCTGATTATGTTGTCAAGGGTTGCCTTAACTCTTACGAATCTGACTTTTTTTATTACAAATGTATCTATTATATGTCAGGAACAATCTAACCATAAACAACGGTAACACTTTATTTGAAGGGGTGTGCTAAAGACGAACATAACAACCGTCATGAACATGAAGGAGTCTTCGTTCATGAAGTGTCATTGGTAAATAATCACATTTCTAAAGCAATGTTGCATTAAAAGTTTAATTAAAAGTGCATTAAAAGAGTCAACTTTGTATTTTTCTATGAATAATGACACTTTTGAACCAAAGTTACATTAAAACTTGCAATAAAAAAGTTAACTTTGCTTTAAAAGTGTCATTATTTACCAAATGACACTTCATGACAACATTTATAAACATTTACAAAGACTCCTTCATGTTTATGATGGGTGTTATGTCACGTTTATGCACATCCATACAATTAAAATGTTATCCAAACTGCCTTCTTCTTATTTAAATATTCCACGTTTTTGCAGAATTGAGATCAACACCCGTTACATTTTGAGGAATGTAACGTCAGAATGATAAAAACCTGATGCACAAAAGAGATTTGTATCAAATGGAGCTTAAATGAAAGCAGTGTCACATCTCCAGGTTGTTTTTGGTTTCTGAAGCATCTAATTGCAGTCCTGAACCTCCTCCACCGATTCCACAAGAGACATTTGTGTCGCTTTCCAGCCACATGGTGTTTCCAGCGTTTATCGCGCCCAGTCTGCAAAAAGCTTGTTAGTCTACCAGATGTGCTGCGGTGTCTTTGAGAAACTACTTGACACCACTCTGTGCTAACATGCACACCTGTTTGGGGATTGTTTTTGTGGGTTTTGACTGAAAGTCAAACACAGAAATGCAGTGACGGACAAAACTTTGTCTAAAAAACACAATTTTGCAATTTTGGTTAAATAAAAAACAATTAAATTCATATGTGAGTAAGTTTGTTCATGCGATAAAACATTCAAAATTCATTCCAACTACTTCCTGTCTTCCTCTTCATGGTTTATGCCAATTGATAAGAAGTCATCAATACTGATTCTGTTATTGATCTGACTTATCGATTCGACTCCTTATTGATTCTTATTGAGTTAGGAAATAAACTCTTAAATTCAAAATATGCACCATGTTGTTGCGCTCGATTCAAACTAAATTAAAACTTGCTTAAACAATAAGAATCCCTCTGTCAAATGAACATTTTATCATGAAATGTTCATTATATCAACAGCTTTTGTACTTTTAATGTATTAAACTCGTCGGAAAATATGTTAATTTACTGAAAATGACTATAAATGTCAATGTGAGATGGAGACTATGAATAGATAGGAAGGATATGGCTAGCATTAATACAATAACCAGGATGTGGAGGAGATTAACAGCAGGAGATGCTGCGCTCAAAGCTCCGCCCCCTTGAGTCACCGCCGTTGCTAAGCAACGGGTCAAACGCTCCATTTGTTCAACTGTTTACTCCTTTTATTATGATTAGCGTTCCGAACTTGTTGGAAGTGGCCCCAGTTTCGTCTTTTTTTCTTAAATATAAACGTATTTTGGAGCGAGCGCTACTGCCGCGACGCCATCTTGGATATTTTCGAAAGCAAAATAAGGAGCGTGTTCAGTACGTCATCACGCAAATATGTCACATGTTACGGGAACCGACAAGCAGAATCGTTAAACTCGCAGCTAAATGATTACAAGTCATGAACGACTGAGATTTCCATCCCTACCAATGACAACATTAAGTTTATAAAACCATTTCAAGAACGTGCTTTACATGTATTGGAAGGAAATACAACAAAACAGCAAACCAAAAGAAGGAAAAAAACGTAAAAGTATAAAATTACATATTGGTTCTCCATTTTTAATAAGAATAAGTCGTCTGTAATTTATAAACCAGTCGGGGTTTCTCTGGATTCTTGCTCTGATAAAATTAGAAAAAACAAGATTTTTATTTCAAAATTACTGTATTTCTATTAAGCTAATTTATTTTCGAAATGTGAAATTGTAAACTTATATGGTCAATGTAAACGCAACTGCTGTTGCTAAAGCTAAAGTCACTTAATTGATATAACGGGTGCAGGTCTTCTGAAATGTGGAATTAAGATGCTAACCTTAGCATTCTGCTCTGTTAAAATCATGCACATATTTATGAGAACTTTATATGTTTTTACCATTACCTCTCACTTCACATTGTTCACATTTACTGTATCAAAATCAGAAATCAATTCCTTCAAAACACCAGAAAATTTGATTTAAAGGCTGCAATATGCTGTTACACCACTGAAACCAAGTCAATACTGGGGGTAGGACATGTTTAGGTAATAAACGGTGACCCAAATCTGTCCTCACACTCACAGCGCCCCCCTCTAATCTGTCCTCCATGAGCATCCACCCACATGTGACCCTGTAAAGGATCAACACGACAAGTTCCTCCTCAAGTGCTGAAGCACACAGGGGTTAAACCTAAGCAGTAATGGTTCTCAGCTTAACCCCACCACAGGCTTTCAAGAAAAAAGGGGGCTCAGAGGAACAGCAGCAGGCTTAGGAGCTGATGGGAAAAACAAAAGAGAAAACTGTAGGAAAAACTGCAAGTCGCTGATAAGGAAATACAGCCCATGTGGAGGGGGAACCAGGTGACAAATACGAATTGTTCGCCAGGTTTTTTTCTTCGCTTTTCAATTTTCCTTCTCAATGAAATGTCTGAGGGAGTAATCCCTGAGCTTCATCCCAGTTCCCCCCAGTGTGAGTCAGAAATCAGCAGCTCCCTCCCTCACAGTCTTTAACATTGTCAGTAGATGTTGCTTGGTCCATTAAGCAGCTTCTTAATATGGATGGCCAGCGCTCACCCAGCGACCCCAAACCTCCCACAGCTGCAAATAGAGAAAACGTTGTGCAAAGAAACAAAAACACTGCAGAGGATGTAAATACATCGCAGTCCTGCGGTGTGCTTTGTGAATGGTCTCAGAATATTCTACATGAAGTCGGTGAATGGACTGAAACGGCTGGGGAAAATCTGACATTTCTGCTGCAAAATCACAGAAAACGTAAAACTGAACAGCAAAATTTAATCTAGATTTGGTTTTAATCTTCATTTGGTTGACACTCTTTAAAAACATGAGATTTATTTGCAGTGATTGTGTTATAATTTTGTTTTGAGAAGTGTGTTCAGAGTAGAAATACCATTAGTGTCAACATTTTATTGGTCAAGTCACACCAACTTAAAAGAGTTTGTACTGTATTTACAATTTTGAGAAAAGAATGACTGAAAATTATATCATTCGCCTTAACATTTTTTAAAGGGGCAAGGAGGATATTAGTACTTAATTGATTAGAGTTTTTGAGAAATTGCTGCAGCTGTAATTAAGTTGTTTTTTTTTTTTTTGATTTTCTACCAATTTTAGAAAAGTCTTTTTTATTATTTTTAGCAAACTTAATTTTATTTTATTTATTTGTTTTTAGTTTTACCGTTTATCAGCCTGTGATGTTGTGATTGTTGTGAAGTACTTTGGTCAGCTGAGGTTGTTGTAATTATATATATATTTTTTTTTTACATATTTGTTAAAATTGTCACCATGTTGTCACAGTTTGTTATAGATAATCTGTAAAGAGATCGATCTCCTCCAGCTCCTCTCTGAGCTGCTATGGCAGTTTAAAGAAACGTAGCGAAAACAACCAAAAACAACCAATCAGAGCCTGAAGGCGGGTCTTACTGCTGTCAATCAATCTCATGTACTTGCTGCTAAATGTGCTAATGAGGATGAAACAATTTACCGTTACAGGAAAATCGTTTAGCTGCCATTATGCCATGCTAACTAGCCTAGCATTCACAACAGCCTATGCTAAGAGGACCAAGAGGAAGATGGAGAGGGAGAATGAGCAGCGCCAGACAAGACTATGATTGACAGCACTAAGCCCCTCCTCCTGGCTCTGATTGGTTGTGTCTAGTTGCACTGGGAAGAAGGTAGAGGAGATTTTCTTCACAGATTATCTGTCACAGCATAGCGACAGTTTTAACACATATGTAAAAATAAGTGTTTGGTTGTTTTTCTTAAAGTTACATACATCCCATTTATAATAGTCATCAACAAAGTATTTACTAATATTTCTATGGTAAATAACTTCACCATAGAAAGCATATAAAAGCCTACTTTTTCTGTCTGCAGGTGCAGGGTGTAATTATTCCTCAAGTAATTTGTTTAACTTTATATTAACACTACCCAATACAAAATTTTATCCTCTTTGCAAACTATGAAAATATGAAGCAAAGGTTTTTAACTCTCTAAAGGAGAAAAGAGCAGCTGTGCGTCTGCCCAGCCTAAAAAAACATTCCTGTCACCTCTGGGGTCTTCTGCTTGGAGGCAGCCAGGCAGCGTTTCTTCTGTAACCCACACTGGTTCTCCAGGTCTCTTCTTCTCCACCGTCTGACTCCAGAAACACAAAACCCACCGGCTCCCACTGAATTGTTATGAAGTATAGTAAATCTGTGGAGATTAGCTGTTATTACTAATCACTTGGCTCCAGATTGAGATCATGATCTGCCGTTTGGGGATCTCTGCACTCAAAGATCCTGTAGCTTTTGTCTCGGAAAACAATAACAGACAAGAGATTTTGTCAATGTGAGCTACAACCCTCTTAAACACAGACTGGTACCTTATGCTTTGCTGCCAAGAATATGGCTTCTCTCTGCACCAGGCTCATTTAAACGAGGTTTGCTGCACACAGTTAGAAAAAAGAGTCTCAAACTTATGGCTTTTTTCTCTAGATTACAACCAGTAGATAAAATGCCTGATTTTCAAAAACCAGCGTAATTTGTCTCACACTGAACACGGTACGTTTAAAACCACTGCAATCTGTTTCTGAAGCTGCAGCTCAGAAACAGGCTAAAAAAGTGAAGTGGTTAGAAAAAGAGAGGCAGGCTTAAGGTGG